TTTGAACGTATACGGTATAAAGTACATTTAATTATTAATAATTTTTTATTAATAATTAATTATTAATAATGTAATTATTGATTTACTGACCCTCTTATCATTGCGAACGATTCGTCGCTTGAAAAATAAGAACCGGAGGGTACTACAGTGACAGTCTCCTTACCAGCATTGATCAAATCAGGGTCTTCCTCGCCCTCGTATGGGAAGGGACCCTGTAATGTTGAAATTTTAAACATACACCAGACCCAGTGTCAATCTTACCAGACCCAGTATTCCATTCTCGCTGTGTAGTATGACGTTCATTTCTGGTGGTATGTAGTTCGACGCTAGCATCGGCATTCCTATACCGAGATTAGCTGGTACGAAATTATGAGAAATCGAGAATCAAGAATCAGAAAAACAACTCATCATCATTATAATTAAAATACATGTGCATCTATTATTTTTTCATCAGTACATGTAAATGTACATGTATTAATAGGATACCATACATCCCGTCTTTAAACTCAAGTGCTGCTCTTCGAACTATCCTCTCTCTCAAACTGGCCCCGCCCCCTTTACCCCCTGAAGCCACGCCTCCTTCCTCCTCTCTCTTACGTACGGTTCTACGCTAAAAAAGAAATAAAATAAAAGTATAATAATTATATATTTATTTTTGGTTACTTCTATTCTTTTCTCGTATTTCTCTCCTTTGACGATTCTGTCAACGTAAAGAGACGGTAAGTGAATGTCTTCAAGTGGAAAACTGCCGACGTCAACAATCTCTTCCACCTGTGAATAATAATAATAATAATAATAATAATCTGTGTAAAACTAAGCAAAAGTGATAATTATTAGCACATTAATATTATTCATTACTTCCTGTGTCTATAGCGACAGGAAATGATGCACGACCCACGATGCTATGGCACTGTTAAATGGCTATTTAACAAACTGGTTAACCAGTTACTGTGAATGCAGTACTAACTGAGATGCTTTGGAGTATAAAATTTTTGAAAGGGGATCCTCCACAGGGAATCCCCTAACATAAATAAATATAAATAATAATAGTTTATGAAACAATGAGTACCATAAGGTTGGTAAATTTCGTGGGTTATTTAATTGTCAATTTCCTGGTTCATTTTTATCCATAAAATTTTGACCCCTTAGGGACCCACACATAAAAAACTATTGTTTTCAAGCCAGTGAAGGAGGCCAGAGTAAGCCTTGTATTGGAAGCTAGTGTTGTAGATCCAAGAGAAAAAGTTGTCTAACTGCCAGCCACGAATATTTGCACCCACAAATATTAGCTTCTAAGGAATTTTTGGAGAAAACGCGAAATATTGGACCATTGAAAATTACCAACCATACAGTGGTTGATTTTCGTAATAGAATCTCACTCTTCCTTACTTCAGCTATGGTTATCTTGCTTGCTTTAGCCATTGGGACGTTGAAGTTCCTTGCCGACTTGTTAAACACGAGATTGCCTGCTCTATCGGCCTTCCACGCTTTAATGAGGGAGACATCACCAGTGATGGCCTCCTCCATAATGTAGTTATGAGAATTGAATACACGAGACTATGGGAGAATTGAGATAATGCACTATTAATTTAATGCTCGTTTAGTATATAACAATTACTGCGTTTTCATTTCATTGCTACATTAATTATTCATTAAAATTTCAAGGTACATGTACATGTACATGTACAAGTACATCACTATACTGTAAATGAAAATACATGTATGTACATGTATGTATGTAAATTTGTCAGAATCCACTAATTGTCTCAATTTTTCAATGCTCCATTGTTATACATGTAAAGCTGTAATTGCTAAAGACTAAATAATAAAACATAACAATGACTTCATTTTCATTCTATTGTTATAAAAATATATTAATTATTTATAAAAATTTAAGATACAAAGTTTCCTACTCTTAAACATTATTTAAATTTGAATGTACATGTAACTCAACTCCTCTCTGTCCCCCCCCTCTCTCTCTCTCTCCTTACCTCTCTCCCCTCACTCTTGATATCGATGCTGCCATCACTTCCATACTTGATAGGAGCCCCTCCTTCATGAATAAGAGTACCATATCCGGTTGGAGTGAAGAATGCCGGAATCCCAGCTCCACCTGCTCTTATTCTCTCCACTAGAGTACCCTGGGGCGTGAGTTCTACCTCTAGTTCCCCAGAGAGGTACTGACGTACGAATTCGGCATTTTCTCCGACGTAGGAGGATATCATTCGCTTAATTTGACGTGAGGCTAGTAATATACCAAGACCAAAGTCATCAACTCTGAGAGAAAAGAGAGAGAAAGTACTAGTACTATTAGCTTTTAAAGCAAAATATTTGTGATATTTCTTTTAAAATATTTCATTTTTTGCAAAATTTGCAAAATCTAAACCTTATTAAATATTGGTAATAATGTAATGTACGGATACATTTCACATGTACATGTACTCAATATGCATTTACCCTGCATTATTACTGACGACAGTCAGTTCCCTGGTACCAAGGGCTCTCAATGCTTCTATCAGGTTCTCGGGTATTCCACACAGTCCGAAACCTAAAAATCACGTGACAGTCACGTGATGCATGCTTACAGGGCTCACCTCCAACTAGGAGTTTTGAGCCGTCTTTTATTCCTTGAACAGCATCTTTTGAGGATTCGTAGAATTTTGATTTTCGAGGTGAAGATGAGCTCAATTTCCGAGACTATACAGAAAGAAATAGGCACTAAAATATAATAAAAATATTATTCGTGTGGAACCTGGATTGCTGTTACAAATGAAAGGCCTGGTCCAGCTCTAGGGACGAGAGAAACGCGAGATAAACAAAACAATGAATTAAACGCCGCCGCCATCTTTATGATTATAATAATTAAAAATAACCACGCCCACAAAAAAAACTAGTTAGTATTCGGAGATTGAAAACGGAGATAGTATACGGAAAACACGTGCTTGAATTGTAACAAAAAAACAAAATGGAGGCTGGTCCTCAAGGAGCATCTTCTGGTTCTGGCAGCTCCTCTGATCACGTGATTGGGCTAAAAGGTGAATAAATAATTTAATTATGTGTATTTTTATATATTGGGATGCTATTTTTGATAATACTTCATTTTAAAGTAATGAGATTTTCAAAACCAAGTCTAATGACCCCGCCCATTTCTATTGGCGAAGAGTGGGAATCGACAGGTAAGTATCGGAGCATATTTACATGTTTACAAGGGTCGTTGCTATGCAGGACACTCCCTAGCAACAGAGAATAATAAGGATATAAGAGTTAGTGAGGATTTACCAGGACTGGGGATAGGGGAGTTACTGGACATGCACCAAATACTGTGAGGAAATACAATTATTGGTAGCCATTTTGGAAGTGGTAAAATTTGAGTGAATTGCTGAATTTTTGGTAATCGACTGGTTTAATTTGTGGCCATGTACATATGCATATTGGTTTAAAATGTATTGGCTTTTTAAAAATTGTCCCCCTCCAAATTGCTAACTATTATGGTTCGTAATGGTTGTGCTCTTTTATCTTTTTTGTATTATTTTATTTTTTCTCTTGTAGTCCTGGAAAAGAGAACCTCATATTTTTAGGTGAGACGTATCGAGTGTTTGTGTCACTGGGCAATGAAAGTGCAGACCCTGTCACTGACGTAGTGTTAAAAGTAAATTTATTAAAATTTATTTATTCTGAAAATATCCATGTACTATAGCCCATGCTTTTTTTACGAAAAATGGCTCCAAAATTGCCTCCAATTTTTATTATATTTTTTGATAAATATTGATGTCCTTATGCTATGTAGAAAGTTTGAACTGATTCCGACTTAAATTTTTCAAGTTACGGCCATTTTTAAAACTCGGCCAATTTCTGAAAAAATCCCTGTACTATAGCCCATGGTTTTTTTTCGAAAAATGGCTCCAAAATGACCCCCAATTTTTATTACATTTTCTGATACATATTGATGTACTTATGCTATGTAGAAAGTTTGAGCTAATTCCGACTTAAACTTTTCAAGTTATGGCCATTTTAAAAAATTGGCCAAAATCTGAAAAAATCCCTGTACTATAGCCCATGATTTTTTCCAAAAAATGGCTCCGAAATCACCCCCAATTTTTATTAAATTTTCTGATGCATATTGATGTACTTATGCTGTGTAGAAAGTTTGAGCTGATTCCAACTTAAATTTTTAAAGTTACAACCATTTTTAAAAATGGGCCTATTTCTGAAAATATCCCTGTACTATAATAGCCCATGGTTTTCCGAAAAATGGCAAAAAAATCACGCCCAATTTTTATTACATTTTCTGATACATATTGATGTACTTATGCTGTGTAGAAAGTTTGAGCTGATTCCGACTTAAATTTTTCAAGTTGTGGTCATTTTTAAAAATTGGCCAAAATTGGAAAAAATCCCTGTACTATAGCCCATGGTTTTTCTGAAAAATGGCAAAAAATCACCCCCAATTTTTATTACACTTTCTAATACATATTGATGTACTTATGCTTTGCAGAAAGTTTGAGCTGATTCCGACTTAAATTTTTCAAGTTACGGCCATTTTTAAAAATGGGCCAATTTCTGAAAATATCCCTGTACTATAGCCCATGGCTTTTCCAAAAAACGCCTAAAAAATTACCCCTAATTTTTATTACATTTTCTGATACATATTGATGTACTTATATACCATGCACAGTAGTTATTATAATTAAATTTACAATATTTTAAATTATTTTATTAGGTTGAGATGTTGTCTCCATCCTCCCGTCACCTCTTGCACCAGTCGCCTCCAACGAGGGAAATGAAACCAAATCAAAGAATGGACCACGTCTTATCTCATGATGTGAAGGACATGGGAGAACACACGTAAGGAGAGAAGGGAGGGAGAGGGAAAGAGAGAGAG